CCAGGATGGTCTCGATCTCCTGACCTCATGATCCGCCCATCTTGGCCTCCCAAAGTGCTGGAATTACAGGCTTGAGCCACCGCGCCCGGCCTATTCTTGCTTTCTTAAGATGTTGGTTCCTATTGAAATCTAAGGCAGGGACTTGAAATTAGAAGGACTGTGTTGGAGTGCAGTCTTTAGCCATACATCTGGGTTAGCTGCTTGGCCCATTGAGACTGCTTTGAAAAAATTTTAAAAATGCTACTGCTGATTTCCATGAGAATCAACTGAGATACTGGAAACAATGTCAAGGTGAATTATGTTTCTAGTGAGAATTGCTCTTATGAGGAAGCAGGAGGACAAGGACCTGAGGGATGTGTTGGTGTACTTGAGAGGCCACTTAGAGCCCAGGGAAGACCTGGGTGCTGGATCCAGGTTTCCTGCGTCTGGAGCTCCTGCATTACTACTTCCTAGTTTATGATCTTGGAAATGCTGACAACTATCCTGTTTGCATGATGGAACTCATTTGAGAATTTCTCATCTAGTGTAACATCAGGAAATGAGCTGGGTCTTGAATCAAATTGCCTAACTTTTGGTCCAGCGTCTCTTTATTCCATCTTTTCCTCCAAAGTCAGATAATACAGTTTGCAGAGTATGAGGTTTGGAGTATGCTACAAATAACTAAGACATAGCCTCCAAATCATTTTGGATTTTTTGCTTGTCAAATATTTGAACAATTCCAGATGTTCTCTAAGGTGAGATTATTTTTTCTTTAAATGCAAGTTTTCCCTTTAAATGTAAACTTCTGTTAAATATCCTTTAAATTTAAACTGCAGAGTTTATAGAAATTTTTGTGTTTAATAGCCATTGATACATCAGCCAAAATTACAGACAGCATTGCCTTAGTTGACGCCTTCAACTTGCCAAATGCATTTATTTGTGTGTACGTTATACCCCCAATTTAAGGAATAATTCAGAAACAAGGAGCTAGTGTGGGTGCAGTGCGTTTTTATAGCGACTACAAATAGTTTCTTCAGGCTACTCTCATCATTTGTGAAAACACATTTATTGTTTGGTAGAAAGAAGAAAACGTTTGCCATAGCAACCATGGCAACCCTGGGTGTCTTCCCTATTAGCTGTAATGCGGGGAGCATCTTCAACAGCAGGAAAGGGTCCTCGGCAATTATCACCCAGATAGCATCTCTCCATTTTAAGAGCTTTGGCTGAAGCTCTTGGGCTCAGAAAATTTTTAACATGATGTGTTGATGAATGCTAACAACAACTATTCCATTTTGGTTAATTTGAGGAAGATTAATAAGTTAAGTTTTTTTTATTGTGGGAAAAAGGGAGATGTGATTTTCTTTAGACAAATTTGCAGAAACTTTAATGTTAAATCATTCTCTATTTTTTATTGTGGTTTGTCTTGGTTTGGTTTAGTTTTGATCAGTCCTTTGTTATTTTATTCTTTGCAAGGCAAAATTTCTTGTCATTCTAGTTCTTTGTTTCCATTCTTCACATAAGTTCTTATCATATGCTAATTAGAGTAGATGAAGGAAAAGCTTTAAAGCATGATGAGGAAGTCTAGTTGTGAACTATTGAGGGTAAAAGAGAAATAGTTAAGGCTTAAGAATTTTCATTTTTAAAATAATGGTGGTCACAGAAACATCAGAAGTCCTGTATTAAACTATCAGCTCCCAAATTGCTCTACATATTCTTTATGCAATAAATCACATATGAGTAATAAAATTCTCAGCTTATAAAAGAATAACATGTTGATAATGGAAGCTATGTTATATGCAAAAATCAGAAAAGTATAAAATCACTCATACATTCACTACAGGTAAAATCACCATATACATTTATTTTCTATCATGTTTTAATATTGCTGAGAGAAGACCATTTCAACAACATTTTCTTTTCTTTTCTTTTCTTTTTTTTTTTTACTGAGAAAGACTGCAGCCTCATGAACTGGGCAGCAGAAGAATATGTTGAATAGAAATGAAGAATATGTTCAGAATAATTTTGGATTTTTTGAAATGTAAAACCTCCCTCTCTATAAGCCTCTCTGTCAATTTTGAGAAGCTAGAGAAAGGCAGAGGGGAATGGGAATTGTGAATATGTTGAGGAAGACAGAGTTGAATGATAAAAATGTACTCCTGGATCTGGCATCTCAGAATCTCTGCTCAAATACACACTTCCAGTGATTTTCCTCCTTACTAATTTTTCTGGAGTTTTATAACCTGGTTTTTTTTTTTTGTTTGCTTTGTTTTGTTTTGTTTTGTTTTGTTTTGTTTTTGTTTTTGTTTTTTCTGTTGAAGGATAATTGCAAATAGCTGGATTTACCCTATGTTTTAATCCTGGGTGCCAAATTTTCTAAACTTGCTGGATTTCAGTTTTCTCAACTTTATGATGGAGATAATGCTATTTACTTAAAAGGGTATTGTATATTTATTCAAGTAGCCAAAACTGCAGTGTCAAATAGAGTCCAATGCACATTGACTTAAACACAATAGGTGTTTAGCACTCATTCATCTACTAGGTGAATGTGTTCAAGCAGGCAAGTGCTTTCCTCCATGTGATGATGCAGGGATCCAGGATCTTTCCATACTGTGATTCTGCCATCATCTAGATCTTGTCGTCGGCTGCATCCATCAGTGGTGGAAGAGGAAAGCAAGTGGAGAAGGAGCACACTAGCCTGGAAGTGGCAGAAATTATTCCCATTCACATTCTTATTGGAGAGAACTTGACCACATGGCCATAACCATAAAAGTACAGAAAGCTGAAAACTGCCATTAAGCCATGCACTCACTACAATTCTATTACCACAGAAGGAAGACAGAATGGATATTAGTAACTATCTGCCATATCTGCCACTGTATTCATAAAAAACACTGAATAAAACACATTCCACAATAGATGCTGAGCACATTCCCTTCCCCTTCTTTTCTGCATTTGACTCTTCTCAGGAATGGTGAGAAAAAAAAAGGAAAAAAAACAAAACTTTTCTCAAACAAAATCTGCTAAGGGCTAGCTGCTTACTGAAGAAAATCGACCACAATTTGTAAGATGTGCCTTTAAGTCCTCTATTTTTCCATCCTTAAAGACAGAATAGGATTGACTTTATGCCCTCTATCACTTTGTCTGTATTGCAGCCCTGTACTATGAGAGACTCTGCAGGAGGAGCTGGGGCTCTGGAAAGCTCTCAGTTACCAAGGAGATGTCCAAATGACTCCTTCCAAGGTGGCGAGAAAGTAGACTGAAACATCGCTAAAAATGATTTTCAATGACATAGATTGAAAGAAAAAGGTTATTGATTAACTCCTCTAAACGAAAACTTCAATTACCTCTCCCTACTTGATGTCCTGAGTTGCTTCTATGCTATCCCTACCCATGGCATAATACAGTCTGCAGTAGCTCCCACATGGGCTTCAGAAGATTTGTGAAACTTGGGATTAGTATAAGTGAATGTTGTCTTTTTTATTCTATGTGAAATAAAAACAGAAAATTTAGACTACAAGTCTTCCAACTAAGAGAGAACTAATATTGATCTTCTGCAAACCTCAAGTGTGAGAAATACAAAATTCTCGGGCCAAAACAGTTTTCGTATGTGTGTCACAATGTCCCTGCAGTTTAGGTATACTGAATCACATGAAGATCCAAGAATGTTAGAGACTCTGTCACGCCTCTGAGATTTGGTGTATGTTGCTCCCTTTTCCCTGGCTAATCTCCATGGAACTTGCCATGTTTTTTTTTTTTTCCTGGGATTTGGCTGCACTTGCCTCATGCATCACCTCTACTATGGCTGTCTCTAGAAGGCCTCTCTGATCAGCTCCTGAGGCATTCTGTGCTCTGTGTACCTGCTGTTTACCTCTTGTGATAGTTTCTTTCACATCACTTGATATGTTTTTGTCAGCATCTCTCTCTCTATTCAGCACCCAGCATACTCCTGGTGCTCAACAAACATCTGCCGAATAAATGAATGATACAAAGGCATAGTTGGTGTCCTTTTATCTTTGTATCTGCAGGACAATATCTTGCCCATGATAGGTTCATAGTAAATATTCAGAGACAGAGGAGAGAGAAGGGAATGAAAGAACACTAAAAGGAGGAAGAGAAGGAAGAAAAGAAGGAACGCTATATTAGAGAGAGAGAGAGAGCATGTAAGCCTAGTTCATATATATCTGCAATCAAAGGCTGAAGTTGTAAGAAGAGAAATAAATAAAACAAATGTCACTAGGAGTTTGTAAGATAGAAGTCATAATGGCTAAGGAAATAGGGATGGAAGCATGGAAGATACAGTTTTTGAAATGAGAGAGATTTTGATGGAGGTGGAGAATGGAAAGTACCAGGGGGTTAAGTACAGACACAGGGAAGAGTAGGGCCCATTTGGGGGTAGAGTCATCTTAGTTGAACACTGTTTCATTTCCCTTTGATAGTTGAAAGTTGTTGCTATGTGAGACATTACTACAACTCTCTCTCTCTCTCTCTCTCTCTCTCTCTCTCTCTGATCCTGTTCCAGGAACTGGCGGTTGGTCCCCAGCAGATTCCAATGCTCAACAGTGGCTCCAGATGGACCTGGGAAACAGAGTAGAGATTACAGCAGTGGCCACGCAGGGAAGATACGGAAGCTCTGACTGGGTGACGAGTTACAGCCTGATGTTCAGTGACACAGGGCGCAACTGGAAACAGTACAAACAAGAAGACAGCATCTGGGTAGGACATCTTTTTCCTTCCAATGAATAAAACTGAGATGTGCTCATGGTAACCACAGTACATTTCCATCATTTTCCAATATCCAGATTGTTGGTAGTTTAATACTGTTGAGTGCCCATTAGAAATAATTAGACAATTTGTAAGGCCCATGCCCAGCATGGCTCCAGTTCCTAGGAAAATTGGGAGGTCTGTTGCAAGATAGTTTAGTATGTTCCCCTTTTTGTAGTAAACTGGGGAATTCACTGACTGAGCTTCCCTTTCCTCATCTACAAAAATTAATTAAAAAACAGATAAATGTGCCAACGAAGTATGATTATTAATGTGATTATACTTATTTACTAAGTATTTATTGATGTATTTATTAGTTTATTATATGCCAGGCACTTCACATATTTTGTAACAACACAGCTAGCTCAATTATGTCATTTGATCAACGTTGCCCAATGTGTGACTTGTGACTCGGGAATCTTTAAAGTCTGGTCTGACTTTAAAGCCACTAAGCAGCCTCTATCATAGATTCACAAATAATTGAAAACTAAAACTACAAAACAAATAGAAAATTTAGAATTATTCGGTCATTGAAAACAATCTTCAGCTTCAGAGTGAAGGACAGTTTGCTACAAGTTACAGAACAGAGCTTCTCTCCCCAATCCCACCCCACATTCTTGATCTTACTGTGTGGGTGAAAGGCTGTCAGCAAATTATTAATGGAGGAAAAGGTGGAGGTGAAGCAGACAGCAAAAGTCACCTGGAGGTAGCTTCAGAACCTCAGGCACTGAATAAAATAAGTTATAAGTTTATATTACTTTTCGTTGAGAAAATAAGTCACCATTTTTTAATCCAAATATGTGTAAAATGTGAAGATTTGGAAATTAATAGCATATTCTTTCCTTTTTAGATTCTCTCCTCTTAAATCAATGCCAGTTTATACTTTACATTAGTGTTGTCTTCACATTCACATTCCCATGTTGGGCGCATCTCACTGATAAAAATGAAACAACTTCTGTGTTATATACTCATTGTTATTTGTTAATTGCCTACCCATCACTTGGGTTTGTAATTGCAAACAGTTATAAATTGAGGATTAAGATTAGTTATGGCACACTGAATCCTGAGAATAGCATTAATGTCATCTTTATTCTGGGTCACTTGTAATGTTAGGTTATAATATTTATAAAAGGCATAAGTTTTCTTCATTTTTAAAAATAGTCTGAACAGTGCGTATACATGGAAACAAAGCAGAGAAAATAGACACCACAGCCTACTTGAAGGGAGAGGTAGGGAGGAGGGTAAGAGTCCAAAATCTATCTAGTTGGTACTGTGTTCAAAACCTGGGTGATGAAATCATTTGTACACTAAGCCCCAGGGACATGCAATTTACCCATGAAGTAAACCTGCCCATGTACCCCTTGAACCTAAAATAAAAGTTGAAAAAGGAAAAAAAAATTGTCTTTTGGGGACCATTTCATTTTTTCTCAATTGTGAGGTCCCCGTAAATTACTACAGGTTTTCGTTTTGTTTGACTTTTAGTTTGAGATAAGAAATAAGCACACCTTCTGTTTTGAGGAGCAATTTTAAGGTTTTTATGTTGACTTTAGAGGGACAAATCGATGTGGGATTTTTTTGTTTTCTCTGGTACTTGTCATCGGGACTGGTTGTTTTTAGATTGAGTTGTAGCTTTGAGTTACAGTGCCTAAATTTTTTTTTTTTTAATCATGAGTTTCATTTTCTTTAGAACCAAATAACCTACTTTCAGCTTAGCCCTGGGTTGGGATGTATTTCAAGGGATGACAATTCCTCTGGGCTCATGAGCAGTGGGCACAAGGCCTCTTTCACTTCCTTGCCCTTGTCAGTTTACCTGCGTTTCTAAATGATTCCAAGCTCCTCAAAGGCAGGGATCTCTTTGTACGTCCATTTAGCCCCATGCCTAGTATCACTAGACACATGGCAGGAACTTATTTTGGGATGATTATTAAGAGAACTGCAGAATTACTAGGACTCCCTGAATCGAAGGATGGGGGCAGGAGACTTTCTCCATACCCTACTTTGCATCCCAAACAGCCTTGACACGGTAGGGCAGGTAAAAGTTGCTGGATGAGCAGAGAAGGAAAGGCAGGGTCCTCCATGCACAGTGAGGAAGGAAATTCCAGCAACAAACTCCCCAGAGATGCTTGCAGTGAGTGCAGGGCATTGGGAGACAGGCAGCTTCAGGATCAGCCTTTCACTAAGTAAATACAGGGAGGAGAAGTGATTTGAGGAGGGAGCATTACAACTTCCAATTTGAAGAGTCAAATACAGTGACATTAGGCAGGAATACCATGATAGGTCATGTACAGTAACTAGGCTCAACCCTGGAAAAATAGATGTCCTCTTACTTAACACTCGGATAACTCACAGTTACTAAACACCCATTACACACCATATGTAAGCAAATGTAATTCTATACGTATATCAAACTGTCATTTTATAAATTGATGATTCAATGTTAACATCTCCAGGAACAAAAGGCTTGAGGCTCACAGAGCCCAATCCAAGCTCACACAACCAGAAACTGGTGGCAAATATTTCACAACTAAGATTTATTCCTAAATATAGTTGATTGCAAAACTGTAGTTTCTGTTTCTCTTTTGGTACACTGATTTATTTTTTATTTTTATTTTTGATTTTCACAAAATTGATTTACTTTTCTCACTTCAAATGTTAACTTTGTCAAGCCAACTCTTTAAGAATAATATTAAGCCCTATTGTTTAATTCACATGTTGCTAAATATAAAAGTGTGAAGATACCAATAACATCGATTTGTATTTGTCTATGTTGTAAATAGTGCTTGAAATCTCTAAAACCCTCTAGAATTTCAGGGTGTTTTGCAAACACTTCACAGAAATCTGGGAAATTTGCCTTGTGACTAACTAATATGTATTGATACTTTCATCAAATTACGCTGCTAGTTGAAAGAGATTATCTTGAGAGCTTTGCTTTTTACTTTTTATTTTTAATTTATTTTAATTTTAAATTAGAAGACAGACTCTGAATTCACCAAAATTAAGCCTTATAACTAAGACAAGAACCATAGTCAAACAAAAGGTTTTGCAAAACTGTCTAAATTGTTTTGTTTCACTTTTCAGAAAAAGTCAATGCCTAAAACATCAAGTACTGGCTTAAAGGTGGTACATCAAGAAAATAGAGAATATGTATATATATTCACACATATATATATGTGTGTGTGTGTATGCATGTGTGTGTGTGTGTGTGTGTATATATATATATATTTGGAGACAGGGTCTTACTCTGTCACCCAGGCTGGAGTGTAGTGGCACTATCATAGCTGACTGTAGTTTTGATGTGCTGGGCTCAAGTGATCCTTCTACTTCAGCCTTCAAAGTAGCTGGGACTACAGGCATGCACCACCACATCCGGCTAATTCTTTTGAAATTTTTAAAACTCTTTTTTTAGAGATGGGTTCTCACTTTGTTGCCTGGGCTGGTCTCCAACTCCTAGGACCAGGTGATCCTCCCGCCATGACCTCAGGTTTACAGGCTTGAGCCACCACACCTGGCCAATGAAGCAGAGAATCTCTTGAATGCTTACTTTTACTGGGTCTTCTGTGAATCCTAAAATTTTAGATAATATATAGTTTGTAGTGCTCTTTAAAACTGATTTACCAAACAATACATAGCACATACTGTGCATGGGACAATCCATCCACCAGTACTGAAGAGATTTATTACATTTCACAAGGTTCGCTTCAGAAAAATAATCCTAAAAGGATACCTTTGCAATGTACAGTAGCAATTTTTCATGCCCTAAAAATCCAATTTGGAGAGTTTCTGATCTGGCACTGAATGGAATGCTCATGAATGAGGCCACCAAACAGCCACTTAGTGATGCATCATGATTTATGCACAAGCTAGAGTTCTCGCTTCACTAAATAACCAGGCATGAAGGTGTGTCAGGGACAAATCCAGCAACAATGTTCAGAATCTTAGCAGCTCCAAAACCTCTTCCTGACTGGTGTGTAGACATGCTGAATCATTACAAATATTAAAATTCCAACGCTGGGCAGCAGTGTGAGCCAATGCTTGGTAAAGTGGGTAAACTTGTTTGGAACAAAGGAACCTCTTTAATTAAGTCCACTCAGACCAGGTCCTGTCAGCAGTCCTTTTGAAAGATATGCCAGAAGAACCATGTACTGTCCGTGTTATATCCATGAATAACCACAATGTTGAGCCCTTTCCTTCATAAGCACAATTCCCATACTGTCAGTGAGGCTCTTCTGCCCTAATTCAATGTCCCCACATCCTCAGCTATTCATCACACAGCTGATGTGAAGCCCCTTCTCTACCCTGTCATCTCCTGTGAATATTCTATATTTTATTAATATTCAACTCGCAGTTTTTCTCTTATTAAAATTATGTTGCCTCTCCCCAAACAGACAGTCATATAGTCCTTTATTATAGACGCTTTTGAAAAGGCCTGTGCACTCTGATGGTCTGTGATTTCCTGTAACTTTCTCGAATCTGCCTTAACATGAAGGACTTGCATTTGTTACCTGGCAGTTTACAGGTAACCTCTCACACAGAGGTCAATTCAAGCAATGGATTATACAGTTTGGTCCTCAGTTCCCCAATTTCATCCTTGACTGACTTCCAAATTCTCTGGGACATGCTCTCTGATCTTCATGATTTATACACATTTATTCTACCAGTTTGGCCTAGAACATCCTGAGTATTGATCACTGTTTGATATAGTATTTTAAGTCTACCGATTTCAGAAAACAATTTGAGAGTGAGAATCTCATCACCATCAACATATATCTTTTAAGCTCTCATTATACGCCAAGCACTGTGCAAGGTGCTAGGCTTACAAAGGGGCCTAAGCTATGGTTTTTCCCATCTCTGGGTGTGCAGAACCATTAGGGAGACAAATCAATGGCATGTAAGACAGTATATGTGTATATCGTACCAAGGCAGCAGTTCACATGCACGAAGCTTTTCAGAGA